CGTACCTGACTAATACAAGTAATTTTTTACTGTGTATGTGACCATGGGAATGTAAGTTCCACTGGCCCCTCTAGATTCCTTCAGTCTCATTGTTCTCTGTCCTGCTGTCCTGGAGGCTGGTCTTCATGGACTGCATGAGAACCTTCCATTCTTCCAGAGGGGTTCTGACAAAGGAAAGCTTGGTGCAAGGTGTGTGCTGGTTTTGGCTGGGTCTCCCAATCCTCTACCAAAGCTTTGCTCCCCTTGCGCTGAATTTAAAGAGAATGTGGGAAAAGGGCAAATATCTGCCTCCTTCACTTCTCACTTTCCAGGTAGAGATACCGGGCTTCTCTGGCCATCCAGTCATCTCAGACCATGTGGGAGTTCTCCACAGGGTCCTCCAGAGTCTTTCTCATGCACAGCTCCCTGACATGGGACATCTACCCATCTCCATTGCCTGAAAAGTAAAACCTGCCCTAACCAATATCCCATACCTGGACTATTGTTGTCCCTTAGCCTATAATCCTGTGCCTATGTTAAAATCTTCATGCTGTATTGTGATCTCAGTCATATAAAAGTCCTATCTCCTTCCCCACATGTGTAAGACATTTCTCACTACATCAAGATGCCTTCAAATAGCAGGACACAGAGGGATTATACAATATCGTTTTGTTCAACTGACAAATCTTAATTCAAAGAGATTAGATATGTCTCTAGCTGTAAGTAGTATGATGTAAATTCAGAGAAAAGTAATTACAGAAGAGACTACAAAAATATTTTGGATGATCTTAACATATTTTAGGTGTATTTTAGATAGGTTAGATACCTCATTTCTATAGATTAAATTAGTCAGAAGTACAATTCCAGGTAAAGGCGGGACCATTTAAATGAGAATTCACATAGGAAAGTATGTTCAGCAATGTTTAGCAGTACAGAAAATGCTGAATTTCTCTCTCCAAATGTTAAAACTATTTGCCAATTCTGTGATAATTTGTTCCTATTTTTTTCTTTGTTTCATACTTCTAATGTCAAATTACTTGATTTTTTTGCAGTCTCATTACAGGAAAATTTCTAAATACTAAGTGGGAATTTGTAATTAACGTTACTGCATTTCCACTAGGTCCAATCCTAATGCTCAGTTTTACTGCATGCTCTTGGAAACGATTTACTCCTGGTAAGATAAATACTTTTGTTTTGCCAACTTTACCCTGTGAAAGTAAGACTCCAATATTCTCCTCAACTTAACCACATTTTCTTTTTTCCAATATGGTGAAACATGTTATACAAATGCTTATTCTGTTGTGCTAAAGTTGATGAAAATCCTGAAATACACAATGGCTATTTATTACCTGCATTATTTCTTCAGGAGTGATTTACTGAGTTCTTTTTCTTGATACATTAAAGTGAATGCAAAATGTACCCTTATGGAACTCGAAGTAAAATAACTATTTGGTTCAGGTTTTATACTTTTGTGATATAAAAACATAAATTTTTAATATGAATAATTTAAAAATATCTAGAATGGATACATTGTTGTTAAATAAAGCATTACATTCTGTTATACTGTTTAATTTAGTGCAAGTTTTTGCTATAGATAATTAAAATCGCAGGCTGTAGCATTTCTAAAGAGATTATTTCCATTTGTTAACAAGAATTACAAAACTGAATTTGTTTTTGTTTTGATAAGAGTTGTCCTACCTCTGAATACACTGACTGTCAGATTTTGCATTTGGAAACCTTTCGAATTATTTTAGTTATCCTATGGCCAAAAATTTTCTTGCCAAAGAAGGCACTGACTGTTCCCCAGGGAATGGTATACAAGTTGGCTGAAAAGCGAAAGATGGCATTATAAAAAGTTTCAAAACATTTTCCAATAAATGAGCCTTTGGAATACATTAAACCATAAACAAACCATGGCAAAAGTTAAATTCAAATTGCTTATATGTAAAATTTTTAGCTTAAAGATCTAAGTACATATTTTCTAATGAGTCTAAAATGAACAATTAAAATTACCAATTCTTATTTACATTAGAATAAAGCAGGTGAGAGTTTGCCTTATAACTGAAAACTCAGCATCAAGGCTGCTCAATCTTTCAAAGGTTTTTCGTTTCTCCAATATTTAGGGGCCATGTTGCTTTTATAATTGTTCACACATGATTTCAAGAAAGAAAGAAAAAAAATTAAAGAGATAAAGGTAGAATGGAAGGGAGATGGAGAAAAAGGAAGAAAGAGAGAAAGGAGAGAGCAAAAAGCAGAGAGAGAAAGAAAGAAGAGGAGCGTTAAGAAATAGACACCCCCATACACACCAAGGAAGGACGCACACATAATAAAAGCTGTAACATACGAAGGATTTAAAAAATTATTTTGGAATATATTTTCATTTCCTAAAAATTCTATTTTAATGAAGCTTCTTTCCATGATTTTTGGCTTTGACAGAAGGAAATAAAAGGGTGACTGGCCGGGCGCGGTGGCTCAAGCCTGTAATCCCAGCACTTTGGGAGGCCGAGGCGGGTGGATCACGAGGTCAGGAGATCGAGACCATCCTGGTCAACATGGTGAAACCCCGTCTCTACTAAAAATACAAAAAATTAGCTGGGCATGGTGGCACATGCCTGTAATCCCAGCTACTCAGGAGGCTGAGGCAGGAGAATTGCCTGAACCCAGGAGGCGGAGGTTGCGGTGAGCCGAGATCGCGCCATTGCACTCCAGCCTGGGTAACAAGAGCGAAACTCCGTCTCAAAAAAAAAAAAAAAAAAAAAGGGTGACTGAATCTGAAAGCTGACTTACTTGAACTTTCACTGGGTCTAAAAAGCTTGGATGCATGGGGGAAAGGTGTTCACTTCCAGTAGGGCTGTGATAGAAAAAACCAGATAGGGTGGATAGGAAAGCAAGAGGGGCAGCACAGGAGGTACGTATCCTGCTTCTATTTGTAATTCTATGAGACAGTTTCCCTCCAGTGGATTCCATAGCTAGATATGTGGTCAAAGCCATTTAAAATCATTGCATGTTGATTATTTTGGTTGAGAAAGAACATGAAATAGTAGTCTTTAGTCTTTTTTCCCTCGGCAACATTGTAACATGGGAGGGATTCAAAAATCCCTGGATATGCCATAGTAAAGACATGGGCTTGGCCTGCCAGCAAGCCGCTATGGTGTGAGTCTAGTTGGCCCCAGGGCAGCGACTCACAGTGCTGGATGCAAGACGGACTCCAGATAGAAAAGACAGCTGACACGTAGGGATCTTCAACGGCTGCAAGAACTCAGGTGAGTCTGAGTTAACAGGGACCACCAGGCCTCAACTACGACAGGAATCAGTCTAGCTGCCGGGGAAACTTGAGGGAGCATGATGTCACCACTGTGATTAGATAAATTGATGGGAACCTTTTAACACCTTTTTGATATTTCGATTTTCACTTAAAATTATCTAAAAGTTAGGGTTGCTATATTTAGCAAATACAAATAATGTTTACATTTTTCAATATTTAACAACATTATTCACTGGACATATTTTCAAAAATTATTCATTGTTTACCTGAAATTCAAATTTAATAGTATTTCCTATATTTTACATGGCAAGCCTATTTATAATTAAGCAGCAAGTATAAACTTATCTCTCATCTTTGGAAAGCAGGGTTATATTAGCTACACAAAGTTAAAAAATATTAATTTTTTTCCCAACCAAGCTGATACTTGTTACATTTTTACCATATGAGATAAACATAAAATATGTTTTCTCTCTAACTTACATATCAGCACTGCTGTGAAACAAGAGAAGCAAATGATAGCAACTGTCTTTGAAGAGGTTTCAAATAGAATGAGACTTTTCCACATGCATAAGTACAGAACATACAACAATATGATATGAATGACCTATGTTTGAAATTTTTTCTTTTAAAGCAGCTTTTGAATTGAATCACTTGTCTTCCTCTAGATCAGACTTTGTGGCTGAGGACAGATGAAAAGAAAATAAATGTTTCTTTAAAGAAATAAAGACCCTGTGTGTGTGTGTGTGTGTGTGTGTGTGTGTGTGTGTGTGTGTGTGTATGTTTATGTGTATACGTATGTATGCATATGTGTATGCGCTTGCATGTATGTGTTTTCAATTCTCCTGATGAGGGATTGGGAAAAAAGGCCAAAAAAAAAAAAAAAGATTCTATTAATGGCTAGAGAACTTCTTTTCCTGGGAGCATCAACGAGCACTAGGGATGAGTGGCCCAGAGACCTGGGAGCAGGAGGAAGCCACCTTCTCTTTACTGCAACAATGAACAGAAAACAATTCCAAGGCCCATGCAATCTAGGAGAGCCCAGGTAGTGAACTTAGCACAGAAATCTGAGACCCAAAGGCAAGAGTATGATGTGCCACCTTTCTTCTAAGGTCTGCAGGTCCCCGAGGGTATTCACATTATGAAGACACTTGAGAGAGTGGTACAGCACAAGGAAGAAGGGAACCTCATTGTGTGCACAGTAACCTTACCTGGCCCAAGTGCTCACACTCAGAAACTGGCCAGAAATACTTTGGTAGATCCACCTGTTTTTATTCTACCTCTCTAACCTAAGTGAAACAGGTATTTTAAGCAGTTTTCTGGCTTTTCCTAAATAAGAATCTAAGGATCTATTTCCTAGGGGAGGTTATACTTCAGTTTTCTCATAAGTAAAATAGGGATATTTATATTTATGTTACCTAACTAAAGGATTATTTGGGAAAATCATATGAAATAATGCATGTAAAGCACTGACCACAGTCCCTGCTGAGGAAATAAATGTGAAATAGAACAGTAATAATTATTCCATAACCAACACTGTAAAGTAAGTACTGTGGTAGGGGATAAGAAACCAGAGTGCTTGAGATTTGAAATAAAAAAAAAAAAAAATAGGGCAAAACAGAATTCATCACTGAGTAGTGGCAAATCGTATCAGGTGATTTGAAAGTTTCTCTAAATTTCAGGCTCAACCAAGAACAATTCTCTATTACAACAGAGCAAATGACAATTTTCCTGCCGCAAAAGGCAACTCACTCACTCGCTCATTCGATATTTATTGATTAGACATCTCTTTCAAATGTAATATCACTAGAGCATCTTAAATTGTCTCCCTGATCCTTTTCTCCCTTCTCCCTGCAACCCCCCACCCACTTGTAACACAGTAGCCAGAGTGTTCTAAAAAAAAAAAAAAAGAAAGAAAGAAAGAAAAGAAAGAAAAAAAAAACAAACCCTCATAAATCAAAGAAGGACAAATCCCTGCTTAAAACTGTCCAGTGTCTTCTCAGAGAATTGCAGATAAAATCCAAGCGGCGTGCCATGGTCCTACTGAGTTGTCTTCCATTGACCTTTCCAAACATGTTATTCAACTCTACCCACCATATTTGCTTCATTTCTGTTCCTTAAGTGCACCGTCTTTCCCTAACCTCCAAATGCATTTCCCTGATCCACCGGTGGCTCCTCGCCTGGAGACAGGAGGCAGCCTCCTCAGACAAGAGCTGCCCTTCATCTCTACTGCATCACATTAAAAAAAAATCTTTCCACAGTATTTATCTTCAACTATTTTTTGTTTACGTGCTAAGTATGTACTCTCAGCCCCCTTCTCTCAAATGAAAACTTTAACAGAACTTGACTGCTTTATCTCCAGCACCTAAGTCAAAGTCAACAACCACATGTTGAAGGAATGAAAATTTCTTACATATATATATATATATAATTTCTTATATATATATATATATATATAAAATTGCTAGTCAGTTAGAACACATGAAATTCAATTTATTCCAGGCAGCTTCTCTACCATCACCATCTTGATCATGAGAGCTTATTTTAAAAAGGTGCCAATAACATGTGTGGTGGCACACACATGACGAGGTCAGAAGCAAACCCAGGGTGAGCTAGGGATCTGCTGCTATCATTGCTAATTTACTGTACATATCCTAGGCTAACATAGGCAATGAAAAGTGCTTTAGAGATGGCAGAGATGAAGTCATTTCCATATATACATATATATATAATTTTCCCACCATTCATGTCCCATGTTATTGCTTTCTCTTACAGTTCTGGATTCTAGGCAAAGAGAGTCTCCAGGGTGGGGAAGAAAGGGGCAGGGTGGGGTGGGAGCTGCAATGAGTGAGTCTCATGGGGGTGGGATGGGTAGTGCTGGGCCAACAAAACCTAGAAGAAATGACTGAGGGAGGGGCAGGGCATTCTCAGCTCTAAACCTGTGGGCCTGAGGGCCACTGGCACTGAGGGTGTCTGGTTTCCACTCACGCCAGCAGGGCCAGGCCGGGGAAAGAGAGAGTTCCCTGGCTCCTGCCTCCCGATGTGTGGGTCCTGCAAAGGGGTCTCCTGCATGGCTATGAGATGAACAAAGATAGCTCGGAAGCTCCCAGCTTGCAGAGCCAAATGCAGCTGGGTCAGAGGATAGCTGGAAGGTCAGCAAGGCTGAACAAAGGGCAGTCCTCACTTGGTGGAACACTGGCACGTGAGAGCCTGCGTGAGCTGTTTTCCCTCCTGCTGACCCCTGGACTAGGGCCAGACCTACACAGGCCAAGAAATGGGAACACACCATTCCTCTTGCGAATTTCACAAAACACAGACTGATCAGCAGCGGGAAAGGATCATCATGCTGTGGTGGCAACATCCTGTTTTTCCAGAATCAATCTCCCCCTGGTGATGGGTGGGAAGTTGAAGTCGGTGCGCACTAAGGCTGAGCGGGTAGGGGAGATCGGACACTTGGTTCAAGCAGACCCGGAGGAGAGGAGGCTGGAGCCGGGGCGCAGCAGCAGATGCTGTCAAGGGCATTTCCCATGCGCACCCAGTAGGACACTTTCTGGGGAAGGGTCGGCTCCAACAGTCCTCAGCAAGGCGGCTGAAGGACCCAGTGGCACCGCAGACAGTGGGGATGCCTCTGCCGTGCTCCACCCGCCGCTGGTTCCCCATCCCAACGTGCCGATGGCCACAAAGTTCACGGCATCCCCACAGCGGCGGATCTGGGGGCCAGCGGCGCCAGGCTCTGTTGAACAGGCAGGAAGTAAGCGAGTAGCACCAGGCGCCGGAGGAGCATGCCGGGCACCATGTTAGTGACGTAAAGAGCAACTTCCGGCGGATGGCGTGCGCGTAGATGACGTCATTCTCTCCTGGGCCGGCGGCGCCGCCACCTTCACGGCGACATATAACCCCCAGTGAAGGTTATAGATTGTATGTATTTTCAAATAAAAACCAAGAAAAACCAACCATAATTACCATCTCTATGAATTTTTAAATCCTCTTTCCCTATCCTGCACAGCAAACACAAAATTAAAATGACTTGCATTTGATATAGTTTATTATAATTTAAGTGAAGGGTGAGACTAAAATGCATTCTTACTTAAATTTGTATAAATCTACTACTAGTAATAAATCGAATACGGTAAAATCTCCTTACTTTATGTACTTATCAGTACTCGGCACACACTAAAGGTTTAAAAATCGGTACTGCTAGTTCTGACTCCTGGAGCTCTTGCCCACAGCTGCTGGTTGCCATTCCATGTCACTCCTCCTCCTTATGTGACTTTGAAGCCACAGCAATATCGAACTCATTTACTTCCCAGCAAACCTGCGGCTCCTTCAGTAACATCAACTTCGTCTTCTCCCCTGACCTATCAGACGCAGAGGATGTCATTTTCAAAAGTAATTCCTCACACACATCCTTTGTCCCAAATACCTAAGTGGTCATAAAATCCTGGCGCAGCTTACTCTGAAGTGTGTCATAGGTTCCTCCTTTGCTTTCATTTTTTAAAATCTCCATTTTTATCCAGAGCTGTATGTCTCTACTAGTATTCAAGTTCGTCTCTTTATATTCTCAATTTTTTTTTCAGTGTTCATAGTAAATTTATAGAACTACTACAGATAATGAGAACAGACTGTACATATATATACCCAGTCACCTCTTAGTATCCATGGAGGATTTGGTTCCAGAACCTCCCACAGATACCAAAATCCTCTGATGCCCAAGTCCCTAATATACAGCATTTGCATATAACCTGTGTATGCCTTCTCACATACTTCTAAGTCATCTCTAGATTACTTATACCTAATACAATGTAAACACTAATACTTGTTGTATTGTTTAGAGAAAAATGTCTCTACAGGCTTAGTCCAGAGACAATTTTCCCCTCAATATTTTTTTTAAATTTTTTAAAATTATTTTTTTTAAAGACGGGGTTTCACCATGTTGGTCAGGCTGGTTGGTGGTGAACTCCAGACCTCAGGTGATCCACCCACCTTGGCCTCCAAAGTGCTTGGATCACAGGCATGAGCCACCACGCCTGGCCTCCTCTCAATATTTTCAACCTGCAGTTGGCCGAGTCCATAGATGCGGAACCCACATATGCAGATGGTCAACTGTATGTCTAACAAGTTTCACTTGTTTTTGAACTTTAGGAGTATCATGTTTTCCAAGACCAGCTTTTTGCATTCAACCCTTTTATTCACATTCACCTGTATTGTTACTCACAGCTGCAGGGTAACTTCATGTCCTTGTTTTAGATGTGTCGCCTATAAATAGCATGATTGGGATTTGTTTTAATATTCAATGTTCCCCCCTTGGGCTAGTTTAATACTTTTACATTTATTGTAATTACTGATGTATTTGGACTCGTTTGGCATCTTATTTTGTTTTATCCACCTTTCCTATGTTTATTTCTCAAATTTAAAATTTTGTTTCTTCCCTATTATTCCATGATCTCTCATCACTATTCATTTAGAGATTATATATACTTCCAGTAACTAACCTTGGAATTTTATCATGTATACTTAAAAAGACTAAGTTGATATTAACTGGCTACTCCCAAAAATATAAGAATACTGAAACACTTTGATTAACCTTCTTCCCACCATGCTTTCTACTTTTAACCACACAATTTGGTCTGTCATTATTATTTTGCAGATAACCTCTGTTTACATTTCCCTACCTATAAGAAAGTAGCATTACTATCCATACTTTATGATTCCCATAACTTGTATTTCCTAAGGTTATTTATCTCAGAACTGAGTTCTAGGTTGGGGTTCATGTTGCTTATTACTTTCAAACTATTCAGCTTCAGACATCATAATATCTACCACCTATGTGTGCTTATTACATGCCAGGAACACTCTGCAAGTGTTGACTAACCTGACATTTATTAATTAACTGAATCCTCCTAATACCCTAATGGGCTATGTTAATGATGCACATTTTTTAACCCTTATAATTTATCTTTCCTAAGGCTACACATAACTCAGAACTAGGATTCAGGCCTTTTTGATTCCCCATTGCCTTCATTCACCTTTCCACTCCAGTATGTAATTTCCTCAGTCCTTGAATAATGATTTCTTTCTAAGACATAGAGTGGCAAGGTGGAACTTCAGAATACCAGATGAAAGGGATGTCTGAAGTTACACAGGCAAGTACTCTAGCCTACAAGGTCCCTGGGAAATGCCATCTAGTCTTTGCTTAAATTGAGTCACTAGCAGACCTCAATATAACCCAACACTGTACTCTCAAGTTACAGACAGCACTTAAGAATTTTCTGAACTTTTGGGGAAATCTCTTTCATCTTTAACCCACAGATCTTAATTCTGCCTCCCTGAACCAAAGTGGCAAACAGCTCAATCTAACTATTAATGTATTTTAAGATAGTGACGACACACTCTACTCTTTTAGTTCAGATTAAGCATCCAATTTTCTCAAGTACTTTTTCTCCATGGATTCTTATTTTCATTTCCTGTAGAAATCACAGGAATCCTCAAGAAAAGATTCAGTTTTGCCAAAGGACACCTTTCCATATTGAAAATCAAAAGAACAGTCTGGTAAAGCACTAACATGCCAAACACATAACCAACTTCTCCATCTCTAATATTCACTTCCGGGTTTCTGTGTGATCTAAAACATTTTCCTCCCTTCTATTCTCCCAGCAATACACTCACGTAAGATGAAATTAACTTACAAAAGGTAGGCTATGTTTATTAGACTCACAGGCAGTTGACTGTCTCAGTGTGACTCAAGACCACAAAAAACCTGTCCTGGGGTTGAGACCCAGACCAGCAGGTACACTGCCCGGGGCCCATTCACAGGTTTACAAGTTTCTCATTGAGGGCAATCTGTGACTGTGTGAGGTTGGCCAGGTAGGTCACCATCAGCAGGTCATTGATGTTGCTGTTGAGCACGGTCTCAAAGTCATCAGGAACTATTTTGAGTTAACCAACCAGGCTCATCAGGAATCGGCCCACAGTATTGTCAGCTGACACCTTTCCAGACAGTACATCCTCTGCGTATTGCAACACCGTGCTCAGGGCATCCTGGATGCGAGCTGATGCCCCTCCAACTTGCTGCAAGTCACTTGAGAGTCCAATCACTCGGTTGGGGCTAAAGCAGGTCTTCATGATCAGGTCAACTCCAATTCGTTCAGTGTCATAGTATGCATATTTCACTGTCAGAGGTGTGAACATCACTCCCATGGTCCTCCCGGGGACACCCATTAAAGTGCTGACATAGGCTTTGATGCTCATGCGGCCATTCTGGAGACTTGTGTCCACAGTGAGGTGGATGGGGTTGGGGGCCTCCCGGCTGTAGTACTCATGGATCAGCACAGAGTGCTCTGTGATGTCATGGCCTGTAGCATACCAGCCCAGGATGAGCTCATTTGGAGAAACTTTTTTATGTAGTTCATACATGTTCTTAGCAAATTCCATGTCAACAGCCACTTCATCTTCTGACTCATTGTGCGGCACTGAAAAGCAATTGGTGACCTCCACTGAGTGTTTGTCGACCGTTCCCAGCAGGGTCCCGATAACTCGGGCAGCACCCTCGTTGCGTCGCTCGTAGCTGTCCACAATGGAGGCCACAATGACTGGGTGCAGCCTGACCACGCGGCCGCCGGGGAAGGGCCCTGGGAGAGCGGGACCAGGCAGAGCGAGCGCTGGGGTCTGCGCCGGAGCTTGCGCTGAGGCCGAGGTCTGGCCAGGAGCCGCAGGGTCTGAGGATGAAGCTGGAGTCCCAGCGGAAGGCGGAGCCGCAGCTGGTGCTGGCGTTGGGGCTGGGGCTGGGACTGAGGTTGGGGCCGAGACTGGGGCCGCCGCCGGGGTCGGAGTTGGCGTGGCAGGAGGAGCACTTGCTGATACCGCCGGCGTGGCCATCTTGTCGAGAAAAAGCTATATTCTAAATTTTATCTGCTCTAGTCCATCTTGCATGCAGCTGCAATAAATTGTTCAAATCTATGACTATTACCACAACTAGTTTGAAATCTATCGCCCTACATCTAATTGTATATCACATGAGATATGAAATATTTTTAAGATCGTTCAGCTTCTCTTTAGCCACATCCCTGCTTCTCAGATCTCAGAAAATAAAGCACAGATAAACTGATAGACTCTGTAGGAAATCTATATATCAAGCCACACACTCGTGAAGGATACAGACACTACCAGTTACCTCTCAGAGGACCTGGTGTATAGTAGGCAGTTGAATTTATAGTGTGTTTTATTAATGCATTGAGCTTAACTGAATTTTATTTTCAATTTATATGGGTACATAATAGTTGCACATATCTATGGGGCACATATGACATTTTGATACAAGCATATAATGTGTAATGATCAAATTAAGGTAACTGGGCTAATTCCAAGTGTTTCAAATTCTAAGTGTGGCAGAATTTAATGAGAGAATCTGCTCAGTGACATGTTTCCATTTGTTAAATAAGTATTCATAATTTGCTTCCTGAAATACAGGAACCTCCTTTATAGTATACA